TATTGGTGTATTTCAACTTTTTTGTTTGACTGTACGTATATAAGCATCTTTTCAACTCCCCATCGCACCACTTTCCTCTGGATTCTTCCAGAGGCCTTCATTGTGTTTCAAACTTATCACCATCTCGTTTTGTGATGTTCGTTTGATTGTGGTCATGCCCATCCCTGCATATAACATAAAAAATATATAATATATATTACGCATCACATTCCTAAACTCCTGAACCGTCTTTATTGACTGATAATGAATGTGTAAATTTTCTCTTTGAACTTATAAATTCTATAGATATGTATACCAAGGTCTGAGTTTGAAGGTACTCGTTTATTCAAGAATACACATTTGGTAATCACAAAGATCACCGGAAATATTCTTAAAGCAACGTTTTTGAATGAAAACTTTAAAGTGGAAATGGTCCTGTTGCCAAGTATGCTAATGATACCATCTTAATCTACGATTCTATTCAGAAGGTTACAGCTTCTCATTCGTTTAGCTATCACCATGTCTAAAAACACATACGTCTGAAGGCCACACAGTGTCCATTTCCTGTTTGCATTTGGAAAATCCATGTTTTTCCCATGGTCAACTATATGCTGTGATCTCACGTGTTGGAAAACCAACAATCAAATTGTGCTAGGTGGAGATAGATTAACCAAGAATATTGTGAACTCAATAGTACTGAATTAAAACAAATTTAAAATGTTCACAATTCAGAACTACAAATTTTACTGTTAAAAATAAATAATGGTCTAGTCCACTTACTTCATTCATAATATTTAAGGTTACATATCATCAACTATCAACATTTTAATTTACTCATTTGTAACAAACTTGAATATAAAATTAATTAAATAAAAAAATTTAACATTTTATGTTGCTTTGCGCTGAATACATATCTACAAAAATTTTCCGGCTAAAGCGGTTTCGTCTTAATGTGTAAGAATATTTTCACTGCATTAAAAAATTGAGCACTATAGCCGAAATCCCAGTTAAATGCTGCACCGGGTCATCGAAAATTGGAGCGAAAGGATGGAGATATGCAAACGGAGCCATTTGGCCGACATTTTGCTCAAATCATAAATGGCATAAAATTATCTGCATAACAAAAAAAACATTACCCATTTCGACCAAATTGGAATGTTTTATTTATATAATATTTAACATCACGTCGTTCTTGGTGGCAAACACTTTATATATCTACACTTGCCCGAGAAAGACTGCGTACAATGAGCTCTAGAACTTTAAATTAAAGAAAAAAATGGATTTAGTTTACTACTTTTTCACTTACGTTTATAGCCGTTACTTAGGCATATAATTGACAAATAGTTTCACATTATTTTATCGAACCACTTACCGCTTAAGCTATTGCTAGCTTCTATCGCAGGCTTGGAGCTCAGGGACTGAACCTAAGCGCTCAGCGTTTGCATACTTTTAGGCATATCTTGCGGGAATCTGAAGCGGAACAAATGAATGGAAGAGACAGCAGGGTGATTCAAAAATAATAATATTTAAGATACAATTTTTTTAATGGCAAATAAAGATGTGGAATTTAATAAAAATTAAATTATTGAAAATAAATTATTCAATATTCGGAATCATAATATTAGTAACAGTATTATTAAACTATTGCATAGCTTTTATCGCGGGCTTTGAGCCCGGCGACCGAATCAAGAAATTCCGTAACGAAAATAAACACGCGTAATGTTTGTAGATCCGTCTACATGCAACATATGTATGTATGTAAATATGTACACTAATTGATTCATGCGAAATATATGACATGATGCGACACGTAACACTAGTACTATGGACAATAACGCCATCTCTTAGATAAAAACCGAACGAACTTTTTACCTGTCCTAATATATATATAACCCTCTATCTAACTCGATTAGTTTTAGGTGATACAAACAACCGTTAGGTGAACAAAACTATTATACTCCGTAGCAACAGGTTGCGAGAGTATAAAAAGGAATGCAACAAAAAATATAATAACATATCTCTCTATTATATATAAAAGTTTTCTGCTGCTGTCGAGAATCAACTAACATAAGAGTGAGCTAGCTCGCGCTCGGCGGGGGGCGGACGTAGGCGAGCGAGCGAAGCGAGCATCCCGGAGCGCAGCGGAGGGCGCCTAGTGAAAATATAAAATTAAATTTTCACTTGATGCCATCTCCTACTCTCAATAGCTCTGCGTACGTCTTTCTCCAATGAGTGGATAGTTATGAATTTAAAAATGCAAATGTAAATTAACAGTACTGACATATCAAATGTGAGTGTATTGGTGAACCCATCAGCAGTTTCTTGTAAGGTACGTTTAGGCCAATTATGGAATGTTATGCTATGTTTGCACCGACACAAAATTCGTGTTTTCATAGACAAAAGAGAAAACTTACATTCCACTCATTACAATCGGTGCCTGCTCTAGTTTAATCGATTTTATTAGAAGACATATTTTGCCAGCCCTAAATGTCACTTGACAATTTGTTTACATTCTACTGTGTTCAAATGGAGAAAAAAATATAAAAAAACGAAATTCGTGGATTGAAAAGGAAGAAGCCCTACTTATGAGTTGTAGGAAGCAAATGTTGGTGCGCAAGAAAGAGTAGCCACATATGAGAGGAAATGGCATTGGAGATGCAGCAGCAAGGTGTCACCTTCACGGCGGCAGAAGTCAAATCCAAGATGCACAATCTGTCGAAAAGGTTAAGGTAAATACAATTGAGTAAAGATAAATACTTAACAATATTGAGTAAATATTAATGCGTTATACAAGTATGTTATTATCTTTTATAGGAAGGAGAAAACAGCAGTCGGTTCAACTGGCGGTTCCCCCTCGCAGTGGCCTTTGTTTAAAAAAATGAGCGCAATATTGTCGCCATATAAAAGCTACAACACAGAGGGCTTAGTGGAGGAAATCTCTCTAAGTAAAAGACATGTGTTTTTATCTATATATATATAAATGAAACCCGTTTTCCGTTGTCCCGCCATAACTTGCGAACGGCTAAACCGATTTGGCTGTTTTTTTGTGTGTAGTTTTCTAATACTCTGTAGAAGGTTCTTACGGAAAAAAATATTAAGAAAATGTCTCAAAAAGATTGAAAAAATACATTTAATTTTGCATATTTTAAAAAACGCGCGTAATGAATGTCATCATCATTCACAGCCATAGACTATATTGAAAAAGCATCGTTTGTTCGGAAATGTGGTTATTTAATTAAATTCAACCGCACTTATTTACTAATTTTTGAAAATTACTCGCCACAATTAAATGTACCGACTTTGACGGTAATATTAATAATACAATACCAGTGATGATTTCATTTTAATGTAAGTATTTAATAATAATAAAATATGTATACTATGAGTTAGATTTCAGAATAGAAGTTAGATTTCATATACTAACTGCAACCAAATACGAAATGCCCTAAACTTCCAGCCAATTTCAGCACTATTGTACACAGACAAAATTAATTAATTGCCCGTATTTTCCCAGTCGCACAAAATAATTATTTAAATCATAACTGGCTCGGTAACTGAGCTATGTAGACAAAAAAATATGCTGAAATTAGTTTTGATAATAACATTTTACTAAATTAAACTGCTTACTCAATATAATTTAATTATACCTTAGCCATAGCAAGGCGTGGCCGGGATCTTCTAGTTGAATATATTATTTATATTTACATACATATATACATGGTGCGTTCCAAAGTAAACATGACTTTAAAAAAAAAGAAAGAACAAATGGTTTTATCGGCAAAATCAATTAATTTTATTCAAAATAGTCTCCTTCTGCTTTAATACAGCTTTTTGCACGGCCCAAAAGCATGTCGAACGAGTGTTTTAGCTCGTTGCCCGGTATGGCCGCCAGTACGCCGCTGCAAGCCTTTTGAATGGCCTCCACGTCTGCATAACGCTTTTCTTTCCTCGGCAAATGCATTTTTCCGAAGAGGTAGAAGTCCCACGGTGCCATATCAGGGGAATACGGGGAGTGGTTGATTGTTAAAATTTGATTTTTGGTCAAATAATCGGCCACAAGCGTCGATCGATGAGACGGCGCATTATCGTGCAACAAACGCCAACTTCCATCTTCGTGATATTTGGGCCGAACACGTCGAATACGGCGCACCAAACGCTTTAAAACTCCAAGGTAGAATACCGCATTAACGTTTTGGCCGGGTGGAACAAATTCTTTGTGGACAATACGCTTGGAATCACTTTTGACGTGTCCAGGCGCAATTTTTGGGTTTCGGCTCATTTCTCATTTATGTCCTCACGACCACTTTGAAAACGTTGAAACCACTCGTGCACTCTGCTACGGGATAGGCAATCATCGCCATAAACTTGTTTCATCAATTGAAACGTTTCGGTAAAAGTTTTACCAATTTTAAAACAAAATTTTATGTTGGCTCTTTGTCCGAAGCTCATTTTCGCACCGATGACAAAAACATACTGAAACGCAATAACTTCACTTCCAATAGATGAAATGTCATGAAATTTTTACTGGAAGTCGACAAAGGATAGCAGATTCTAACGCACTAGTCGACATATAGATGGCGCCACTAGAGTTTACTTTGTTACTTGTTTACTGTTTACTTTGGAACGCACCTTGTATATTCATTTTTAAAAAGGTTCTACGAACTCCGAACGGATGGAAATTTCGGTGGAAACGGCTGCGTGTTCAATATATGTTGCTGCATCTCCACTGCCATCACCTGTTTGCACTCCTTCAGCGATGATAATGCCACCAACCGAGTCGACACCCGAGCCGATAGATTCTGCAAATAAGACAAAAAAAAATTATTATCAAAGTTTGATATTAAAAAAAAATGAAAAATAAATAAAAGAAAAAAATGAAGATTTCAATGTAAGTAATGAAACATTTTTTTAAAATTACAGAAACATTGGTCGAAAACGACTGTTGCGTCAAGCGACTTCATGAATACTAACTTAAATATTAAATTAATTTAAAATATCAAAGGAATTTTTAAAATATTGTAATTGAATTATAAAGTTTTTTGTTATAAAAAAAGTACTTTATCTATTCTATAAAAATAAGTCGGGTTTTCCTTCCTGACGCTATAACTCCAGAACGCACGAACCGATTTCCACGGTTTTGTATTCGTTGGAAAGGTCTCGGGCTCCGTGAGGTTTATAGCAAAGGAAATTCAGGAAAAATTTCAACAGAAAAGCGGGGAAATATTTTTTCACATACAGCGCCATCTCTGATACATAGCATGTACTACAAACCAATATTTTAAGTAGATGGCGCCGGTGCGTGATACATTGTTTGACAGCTACTCATTGTTCTCTGCTCAGTTAATTTCATGTGACAAACCGGTATTGTGTTCGCTGTGAAATTGTGAAAAAAAAGTAAAAAAAAAATAAGTTATTCGTTTCAATTGGAAACCATCAAATCAATCACGTGTATTGTGCAAATTTTTATTCACATTGAACAGTAGGCATTTGTCTTTAAGGTGGTAAGTTGAACTGTATAAATTATGTGGAGCGTGCATTTGAGGTTAAATTCACCACTCTGTCCATAGTTTAAAATGCCTAGAGGACGACGTGCCAACATCGGCCGCCACACAATACATGCAAGCCAGCAACAAGTGTATTCACAGAACTTAAGCGAAGAAAGACAAAATATAATCGCTTGGCATTCCAATATGATCCCACTGCGAACTACAGTGATGATGAAAATTTAGATATTGGACCAATGACGACTATATGCCGATATTGCAATGCGTTAAAGTTCGAAAGAGAAACGGCTGGATTGTGCTGCGCAAGTGAAAAAGACAAACTGAATTCTTTACTTACACCACCACAGCCACTGAAACCATTGTTCGATGGAAGTGATCCCGATTCCAGCCATTTTCTTCAACACATCCTTGAATACAATAACTGCTTTCGCATGACTTCTTTTGGAGCTAATATCATTCGAGAAGGCGGCTTCATGCCGACTTGCAAGGTAAAAGATACAACACACATAACCAATCACTCACACCAACACAATGAATTGCAACACATAACAACTACATATACACCACACACTACACCATCACACGATCAGAAGTTACACCGTATTCTTCAACAAATGATTGTTTGCAATTACAGATACAAGGACAAATGTATCATTTGCATGGTTCAATGGTGCCAACACCAGATGAACCGCATCAATTTCTGCAAATATATTTCATTTCGCCGATGGTGGATCAGCTGAATGAGCGGTGCTATATACAGGGAACACAACAGTTAAAGAGACGAATTATTGAAAAGTTGCAAGCATTTTTTCACGCTAATAATGCTGTGGTTAATATGTTCAAAACAGCATTGGAACGAATGCCATCGGATACGCACAAATTTGTCATAAGAGCGGATTGTACCCCAACGAGTAAACATGTGCGAAGATTCAATGCACCCACCGTTAATGATGTTGCTGCAATTATTGTTGGCAGGCAATTTCAAGTAGACCTTGCCAGTAATTCCCGTGGAACGCCTGCAGATGAATTGAATGCTTGCCTGAAGGCATCACCTTTATGGAATAACGTTAAAATATTATCGCTAACCACTAATATGAGAGTTCAACTTCAAAATGGTCAAAATGCTGCACAATTTTCCAAACAATTGTTAGTTGTTGGAAATGGAAAAGTCCCAGTTGATGCGACATCTGGTTTAATGGCTCTTACCAACGACTTTTGCCGATTTGTAGACTCTCAATTAGCTCTTATTGAAAATGTTTTCCCAAACACTAGTGAGAATTATCAAAATTATGCGTGGTTAAGTCAACGAGCTATTCTTGCCACAAATTTGGTGACATACAAATTCGTTGATTCCATAACAAATCCCGATGATGTAGTAAATTATCCAACGGAGTTTTTGAACTCTCTGGAGTTACCAGGATTTCCACCACATAACTTGCAACTCAAAGTTGGTACAGTTATTATGATATTGCGTAATTTGAATCCACCGCGACTTTGCAACGGTACTCGACTTTCGGTAAAAAGACTTTTGCCGAATTTGATTGAGGCAACCATTATTAACGGAAAGTACGCAGGTGAAAATGTATATATTCCTCGAACACCAATGATTCCGACTGATCTTCCGTTTGACTTCAAACGATTGCAATTTTCAGTTCGCCTTGCGTTCGCAACGACAATTAACGAGTCGCAAGGCCAATCGCTTAGTGTTTGCGGGATAAATTTAGAAAATCATTGTTTTTCACATGGGCAGTTATACGTTACGTGTTCACGAGTTGGGAAACCATCCGCTTTGTTTGTGTTAACGTCAGACCAAAAAACAAAAAATGTGGTTTACCAAAGAGCACTTCAATGAAACGGATAATTTGCGGACTATTTACTTTGGATTCACTTTCATTTACTTAGAGAAGTTCAACTAAATAAGACTTCATTTTTGTAATCGAAATGAATTCATTAATGTTGTGAAATGAAATAAAATTTTTCCTTTTCAAAAAAAAATGTTTCTTCATCTTTTAATCACCAAACGAAATGTTACATAAAACGAAGCCATCTGGTGGCGAAACGGAGTTCGCCGGGTTGCCTAGTAGTTTATATAAAATACTTACCTAATAATACTAGTTAAAATACTCACCTTAATCTTTTACCATAATTTATTCTATTACCATAATTTATCGAAATGTAATCATATGATACTTACCCCTTTTTGTACATTTTTACATTACCACTAGTTTAAGCCGTTAGCTTAAGTATAGGCTAAGCGATTCTAAGAAACGTAATAAAGATTCATTGTAATTTTAAACGGAGAATCGTGCGGACGTAATTTATTTGTATCGGATATTTTAACTTTCATTATTGCAGGCAATTCGATTTTCGTTTTATAATCGCGCACCCCTATTAATAACTTCTTTTCGTTTCTCAAAAACTCTTGAGAATTTTTATGGCGCCCGATCCACCTGTGGTGATTTCACTTATTTTTTCACCACTCTGCGTGAACGTTTTAATGTCGTACCTCATAGGTCACGGATGAAATCGAAAAGAGAGCCCATCCCGGTCTGACTGGTCCCTTCATTTGGGTGATGGAATAGACGGTGGTTGTAGTGTGTACGTATAGTGTTGGTTAATTGTATATGGTTGTGTTGTAGGTAGTGTATGATGTTGCATTGTGTTATGTTGTGTTGTATGATGTTGTACGGTGGGTTATGTGCTTAGTTGCAAAATGTCGCGGGATCAAAAGTCGCATGAATATCCCGGCCCTTCTAGACGAATTAATTGCCTAGAAGTCTCTGCAACTGTTGCAGAGTGCTAACTACGGCGTTCAATCATTTTGCCCTTTGTCGCTGGTTGCGATGATCATAGGGTGGTGGAGGTGACCGCGAGCGTGCCCCTCTGGATGGCTTCGGGCGATGTACTCTTTGGTGCAGAACGGGATTCCCTTGTTGTCTGTGCCGGTGACTGGTCTGCGTTGTGGACGGATTTGCTCGTCGAGGAAATCGATGGAACAATGTGTGATATTAAATTGCGAGCGGGAGACTTTGGCCAGACTTCTTGTGGAATAGAAGTGCACCATTCAGTTCGAGCCGTGGCAGGCTTAGTGTCTTCAGGTGAGCAATTTTGGCTTTGGCTACCAAAAGACGTGAAGATATTTTGTTATCATATTCAGTGCGTATGTAAACTGTTGCATAATAGGCCTTTTCAGAGGCATCACAGAAGCCATGTAATTCGACATTATAGTTAGGTGCGAAATTTACCCGTCGAATTCGAATTTCCGAGATGGTATGTAGATTGTCAGCAAATTTAACCCACTTTGTTAAACGTATGGGTTTTACTTGCTCATCCCATTCAGTGCCATCTTGCCGCAGTTCTTAAATGAGGCTTTTTGCTTGAATCATTATTGGCGAAAGCCATCCTGCGGGGTCGAAAAGTTTTGCCACCGAGGAAAGTATTTGACGTTTGGTTATGGCAGATATTGCAGATACTGACCCAATTGTATATGACAATTGATCTGTAATCGCATTCCATTGAATTCCGAGAGTTTTTGTAGTACTGGGTTTTTCAGATTTAAGGAAGTTTGTATCTAATAAGTCTTCCTTTTTATGTTTTTTATTATCTCAGGAGGATTTGATGTAATTTTCTTTAGGGGGAACCCGGCTGAATTTAGTGCTTTGATCACTTGAGATAGTGATTCTCACGCTAATGAGAGACTTTGGCTACCTGATAGAATATCATTAAGGTATGTTTGTTTTTGTAGTACAGAAGTAGCTAGAGGTAAATTTGTTTGACAGGTTTTTGCCACTTCATGTAATGTCCTAATAGCTAAATAGGGTGTACAACTGATGCCAAAGGAAACTGTTTTAAGCTTGTAGTCGCTGATTGGACTATTACTTGATTTTCAGAAGACTATACGTTGGAAATCTTGGTCATCTTTATGTACTAAAATTTGTTTATACATTTTCTCTACATCTCCATTGAAAACATATTTAAACATGCGCCAATTTAGTTTTAGCAGCATGAGATCAGGTTGTAATGTTTGCCCTGTGTATAGTACATCATTGAGTGATGTGCCTGAGCTCTTACACTTTGAAGCATTAAAAACAACTCGTTATTTTATCTGGTCTTATTACACCGTAATGTGGAAGATAAAAATATAAATAACTACCTTTAAATATTTTTTCATATGGTACAGCTTCTTCCATATGATTGAGGTCCAAATATTCATTCATTACGTTATCATGTGCTGATTTAAGCTCGCTTTTTTTTATCAGGCATTTTTCCAAGCTTAGGAATTGCTGGACGGCTGATATTCTAGAGTAACCTAGAGCTATAGTTTCTGGATTCTTCTTCTTCCCAGAATTTTTTGAGTTGATTATTTAAATATTCGTTTGAAATATTTTCAACTTTTGATGATGTAAAAGATCTTTGAAAGCCTTGATCCATTAATGCTCTTAATTTGAATAATATAATACAAGTATGTTCTATAGAAATGACCGCTGTGGGTAAAAGAAATATGCTTTCATTCTCTGAATGAAGAGCTTGAATTTTTGCTGCTTTTGAGGGTGTTCCTCTTTATTTTCGGGATTTGCCATTACCTGATTTCGTTGTCGCGACTAGACCCGTGGTTTTGCTTCATATTTGTAAAATTGGTTATGTAAACCCCTGAGTGATGTCGTCGTTGACAGTACACACAACCGAATTTGGTTTTACAGTCTTTTGTCCCGTGAGAATTTTACAGATAGTTGAGGAAAAGTTTGTGTTGTCGGGCAAGTATGTTTCTCGCAAGATTTTATTTTATGTCCTTCTTTACAAATTTCACATAATGATTGCCAATGATTTGTTTGAATTGACACGAATGTACAAGCTGGTACTTTTAAAAATATACCTGTATCTAGGTTTTCTTTTGGAGTTGTAACTTCTCTTGGAGGAGGATTAGTGGCTCTACATGGCCTTAATAAATTTATTTGGTCTAATATCATTGCCTTCGTAGTTTTGAACTGATCGAAGCAGTTTTCATATTTGGCTGACGCCGAAGCTTTAATGTTTTCTGGGAGTTCAGCGTCGTCAGTATCTAGTCTTGTGTATATAGAACGCGTGCCCATATATTATCTATGCTCTGAATTTCTAAATTTAGAACTGATTCTGTATTCTCGTTAATAGGCGAAGCCGAAAACCGTGTGCAGTATCTAATAAAACTGTCACTTTCAGTTATGAACCTGAACAGTGAATTGTCTTTGGTTCCTTTTTGTTTTGCACCCTGCTTTGAATGTGTAGCTTCTGCGGGTATGCCTTGTGCTTTATTATCATCAGCCATTTTTGGAATTTCTAATGGTAGCGGTGTTCGTGGTTTAACCTCTTTTGATTTATCAGATTGCATTTATAATGTTTTGAATTAAATTGAAAGATATTAGCTAGCTATTAAAAGGGTTTTGTATTAAATTTAACAAAAACGAATTTGGTATAATATGATTGTAGTAAAAAGTTTTAGTTTGCTGCCCAAAGCAATAGTTAAAATTTTTTTTTTGCTGTTGAAAGCTTCGATTGTAAAATTAGTCGATGGTAATTTTTTTTTTTTTATCGGACAAGTCAATTTAGATTTTATTAAGATTTATGTCCGTATTATTGTTATCTTAAAATTTTCCGAATATTGCTTGCTGGGTATTCGTTTCACTCGTGAATAATATGTATATTTTGTATGTATGTATATTCGCTTTTATTATATGTATCTAGGTATATACATTTGTATAAAAGGAACACGAAAATAAAATTGATCTAAAAAACAACTGTATATATATTAGCATACATATGGATGTTAATTTTCATATCTTTGGTTATGATTATCCGTTTTGACCGTATATTTTGTAGTTATATATACATTTGTAAATATATGTGCAAATGCATACATGTAACGCGCTTTTGTAAAGTTTCGCTGAGAGCGCTTGGTATTATTATTATATAAATAATATATTTGTAACTATATTATTTTATATGTATATTTTTTAAGAGAATATAAGTTAACTCCGGAACTTGCAAAAGTTCAACTAAGCAACTATAGTCAGCTAAATATCATAAATTGAAGTAAAACAACGATCAGCAGAAATATCGATTTTGGCAATAACAACAAATAGGGCGCCCATTGAAGTGCAACGTGAGTGTAGCCAATAGTAGGTGTAATTTTAAGTTAAGCTAATAATTGTAATCAGTCTTAAGTTGGATTCAAAATAAATAAGTGATGTGCGGACAAAGTTCCGCCAGCTTTTTAAAAACAATTAATAAAATATAATTATTTAACTTATATAAGTGAAATGAGAAGAGCAAAAAGGTTGGGTTGCGGTATATATTTAGCGCGGGAAATGTGCCAATATTTAAGAAAATATGTGTACATACATAAATGTCGATAAATGTGTTGTTGTTTTTTTTTTCTTTCTGCCTTTGCTTATATGTTCTGAGCGATCCTGCTAGTTGCTTTATGGGCCTAAGGGGTATCGCTGGAAAGTTTGCAAGCCGATGAACTTTACTTATAAAATAGTTTTTGTATTTTGTTTTTTGGTGTGTTTGGAGACACGAATTAAGCAGGCAGGTATTTGAACAACAATACTTTTTTTGGAAGTTTCAGAATTAGTTAATTTATGTATGTACCATATGATTATGTAGGCATGTTAAAAAAGATGTTACTTGCGGTTAATATATTTCGCGGAAAAGTTTTAAAGCCCAAAAATTTAGTATTTAAATTATAGGTATATGCACATATGTATGTATTTCTGTAATATATATGAGTTTTTGTTTTTGTTTGCCTTAGCTTATGTCTTATAGACGATCCTGCTTGTTGCTTGATTAGCTCAAGGGGTATCGCTGGATATATTGCAAGTAGGAATACTAGACTTTGCAAAAGTTTTTTTTGAAAGAATATAACGGTGTGTTTGGAGACACAAAATAAGCTGAGGCAGATACCGTATATTTTTTTCTTTTTCAGTTATTTTGTTCGGTTATTTATTTCCAAGGAAATACCGATAGAACTGTAAATTAACATACATATGTTCATATGTGCATAAAATGTCTATATTTTCAAATTTAATTTAAATGGACTCACTTTTTTTCCGCAAAGGGTTTTTGGGAGTAATACTTAAGTATGTGTATGCTTCTTCTCGGTCTCCTCTGTTGCCTGGGCCTGTCAAAGAGGCTCGAAGTACCATTTGGTGATTTCACTTATTTCTCCATCTTAGGTGCGGTGTTATACTCACTTGCACTATTGCACTACTTTTAGTTAAAAATTATTTAATTAATTTCACGTTAATACAAGTAAGTAT